TAACAGGTTCGAAAGGAGTCTATCTGTCACTAGTGCTGCCTCTCAATTCTAGAATAATAATTTTCATGCAAAAAAACAGTCCAATTATTTTAGGTATATTTAGTCATAGAAATAGATTAATTGAGCCTCAAAATAAAGGTAATTGAATGTAATTTGTCAATGATGAACATTTCTTTATAGGATGTTGTATGACTTTCAGAGTATTTGACCTGATTTTGCTCTTGTTTTCTTTAATCAGAATACAAAACTGAAGTTTGTTGCTGCTTCCTATGATATAAGAGGAAATTTTCTCAAGTGGCAAACTTTAGAAGGAGGTGTTTTACAGGTAAGCACAATTCTAGTTAAAGAATTAATAATGTGCATTATTTTTGCTTGAGGCAAAGAGGAAAAGATTAGATTATTGTATGAATAAAGCATCAGTTACATACTAAAGTTGATTTTTTTTCTGATGCTTTAAATTAGAATTTCTTAAGTTTCTTTTTTTTTTTTTTTTTTGAGAGGGAGTGTCACTCTTTCGCCCAGGCTGTAGTGCAATGGCGCGATCTTGGCTCAGCCTCCCGAATAACTGGGAGCTGAAACTACAGGCGCCAGCCACCACGCCTGGCTAATTTTTTTTTTTTTTTTTTTTCTTGAGACAGAGTCTCACTCTCTCACCCAGGCTGGAGTGCAGTGGCGCGATCTTGGCTCACTGCAAACTCCGCCTCCCGGGTTCACACCATTCTCCTGCCTTAGCCTCCTGAGTAGCTGGGACTACAGGCGCCCGCCACCGCACCCGGGGGTTTCACCGTGTTAGCCAGGATAGTCTTGATCTCCTGACCTCGTGATCCACCCATCTTGGCCTCTCAAAGTGCTGGGATTACAGGCGTGAGCCACCGTGCCTGGCAAAGCTTTATTTCTTTAAAGTTATGACTTTAATTTATAACAGATGTTCCCTTAACTTTTCATATCCTTGATACATTACATAAGTATGATGTAGAGCATATATCCATGTTTGGGTGAGTATAAGAATAGAAAACAGTTGTGAGAGAGATTTATGTGTTGTATTATTTTACTGTAGCTTTGTCCAGACACAGAAACAAGGCTAAACGCTGCTTATTCATTTGGAACAACCTACCAACAAAATGTAAGTTTGAACTATATTAGACTATATTTTAGCTTTATTTTTCAAAATATCATATCAGCAGTAATTGGAATAATACTTAAATTTTGAGATTGGAATTTTTTTTTTCCTGTTTTTGTTTTTTGTTTTTTGTTTTTTGTTTTTGAGATAGAGTTTTGCTCTTGTTGCCCAGGCTGTAGTGCAGTGGCGCGATCTCAGCTCACTGCAACCTCCGCCTCCCAGGTTCAAGCGATTCTCCTGCCTCAGCCTCCCGAGTAGCTGGGATTACAGACGTGCCACCATGCCCGGCTGAAGACGGGGTTTCTCCATGTTGGTCAGTCTGGTCTCGAACTCCCCACCTCAGGTGATCTGCCCTCCTCAGCCTCCCAAAGTGCTGAGATTACAGGCATGAGCCACTGTGCCTGGCTGGAAATGTTTTTAATAGTGATGAATAATTTCACTAATTAATATAATTTTTTATTACCTGGGTACAGAAAAGCTTAATTTCAGTGGCGTAAACAGAGCACCTTGTTATCTGTAGAGGTTTTTGTTTTGTTTTGTTTTGTTTTGTTTTGTTTTTTGAGACAGAATCTCACTCTGTTGCCCAGGCCGGAGTGTAGTGGTGCGATATTGGCTCACTGCAATCTGGGCTCACTGCAGTCTCTGCCTCCTGGGTTCAAGCAATTCATGTGCCTCAGCCACCTGAGCAGCTGGGACAACAGGCATGTTCCACCACACCCAGCTAATTCTTGTGTTTTTCATAGAGATGGGGTTTTGCCACGTTGACCAGGCTGGTCTCAAACTCCTGGCCTCAAGTGATCCACCAGCCTCGGACTCCCAAAGTGCTGGGATTACAGGTGCAAGCCACCACGCCCAGCCTAGAGTCTTAAACATCATATAATACATCTTCGTAATAAATTGTTTATCTGCTTCTAGGCTTATAGGTCTTAAAAAGTAATGCTTACTTCTGAGCATTTTGAAATAACGTAAAAATGCTACTTTTTTTAAAATGACTAATAAAGGTCACTCCCTTCTTCTACCCCCTAATAACAAACAAAAATAATTCCTTCATCTTCCTCCATTTTTTTCTTTCTCCTTCCTTCTCTGACATTCCTTACTTTGGTACCTATTTTGAAATTACATTATCTTACTAAGGAATATTATGAGCCATTAAATACTTGAAAGACATGCATATATTAGTCCATTCTCACACTGCTAATAAAAACACACCCGAGACTGGGTAATTTACAAAGGAAATAGGTTTAATTGGCTTACAGTTCAGCATGACTGAGGAGGCCTTAGGAAACTTATGGTGACAGGAAGAGAAATACTGAGCAAAAAATGGAAAAGCCCCTCATAAAACCATCAGATCTCATGAGAACTCTTTCACTACTATGAGAACAGCATGAGGGTAACCGCCCCCATGATTCAATTACCTCCCTCCAGTCCTTCCCATGACACATGGGGATTATAGGAACTACAGTTCAAGATGAGATTTAGGTGGGAACACAGCCAAACCATATAAATTCATTAGTCTGTAAAAATACATCTTGATAAAGTTCCACACACAACCATAGAACAAAACCACAACAAAAAATACCATTATGGAAAGTAGATTGGAAGAATCTACTAACAGTGATTACCTCTGGATAGTGGGGTCAGAAATTGTTTTTGTTTTCTTGTTTATAATTTCCAAATTTTCTACCATGAACATGAATTTACTTCTTTTGTCAGAAATGATTTACATGTTGTTGTTGTTGTTGTTTTTAAAATAAATGTTATTGTGCTTCTAACATAGGCCAGAAAGATCAACATTTATGTAATGCCTGTCTCTGTGTGCTCAGCATTTTATCATTATTATTCCATTTGATTCATAAAATAACTATGTGAGATATATAATATCTGTGCTTCACAGACGAGGAAATTATGCCAAGTAATTAGGTAATTTACTCAAAGACTTGTGTCACATAAACTGTGGAGCCAATGTTCCATCAGGTTTAAAAAGCATTTTTATTTCATTGAACCTGGCCAACTCTCAAGTTCTTCATAGTGTAGTAGGCAAAACAGTTATATAGACAAAGAATTGCAAAGAATATAAGTGTCCTTCTATAGGTTTGTATAAGGTACTGATTTCTGGGGAAGTATAGAAAGGCTTCACAAAGTAAGTGATACTTAGGCTTGTATAATGAATATGAGTTTTCCAGGAGAATACAGTGGGGAATGAAATGTCAGACAGAAGCCACATTTGCAATGACAGAGAGGCATACAGTAGCATGGCATATTTAGAAACTACAAGTAGATTAGTATGAATGGACCACCATAGACAGATAGGGAGTAATGAGAGAGAAACCTGGCTTGGTTAATGGAAGGCAGATCATAGACATCATTGTACAGCAGGAGAAAAAATTGGGAATTTATCCCATAGGACAGTAGTTTTAAACCTTTTCACTGATGTACACTTAATATTGAGAATGAAAACATACCTCCTTCATCTGAGTTGAGGCTTAAGAAGTTTTCAAAGTTCTCAAAGCAGTTATTTACTATTAGTGTTTTTGGTCCTTATAAAATAATCATATTAACAGTATTCAGGTTTTGGAAGGCAAATGGAAATGCATATAAACAAGGTAGTATAAAGATATTTTGCACAACTAGAAAAACATTCTGAAGATAATAAATATGCTTGCTAATTTTCAATTGTGATTTTTTTTTTGCTTTTTAGTACTTTAAGTTGCTATTTTATGTGCTTTTATTTTTAATTTTACTTTTCAGTGTGAGATTCCTATCTCTAAGATCTTAATTGACTTTCCCACTCCTATATTTTATGATGTGTACCTTGAATATGCTGATGAAAATCAACATCAATATATTTTGGCTGTGCCTGTGTTAAACCTAAATCTTCAACACAATAAGATATTTGTGAACCAAGGTAAGACATCCATACATACCACTTTTTTCCCTGAGCAGAAATCAATAAATAAGTTAACCTACATGATAATTTAATAAACCACATAAGAAAGGTCATGAATTCTCTCTTATATGGTTCTATACAATGTACCAAAAAATAAAACAATATATTGATGGTGGATTTAGAAACTTTTACTAATTTTATTACCAGACATATCGTTAAGAAATTATACTGTTGCTGAGGGTATATCCTGAGAAACATTAGTATAACTGTAAATTGGGGCTTTTTCTTCAAGCTGTCCTGAATATGCTTTTTTGGACAAATTAGTTTCTTTTGTTATTACTCATATTATAAAATTCCGCTTTTTTAGGTAATTTGCAGGGAAAAGCCTTCCAAATTTATGCAAAGTTCAAACAATCAGAAGACATTCAAGTCCAAGGCACAGTGGCTCACACCTATAATCACAGCACTTTGGGAGACCAAGAGGGGAGAATTGCTTGAGCCAAGAAATTCAAGACCAACCTAGGCAACATGATGAGAACCTGTTGCTACAAAAAAAAAAAAAAATTAACTTGGTGTGGTGGTGCAAGCTTGTAGTCCCAGCTACTCTGGAGGCAGAGGTGGGAGGATCACTTGAGCC